ACACATGTATAAACTCATACATGCCTACCTGGAAACACACACATACACATGCACACAAATGCTCGCATGTACATACTCACTCATACATCATACACATGTATACACACACACCAGCTTACACCCACAAGATACACACATGGACATGCATTCACACATTCACACATTCAAATGTACACACACTTGTATGCACCCTCATACACTTAGGGCACTCTCAGAGCATACATTCTGCTCTTTGGGTTCTGGCTTCCCACTGCCAACCTCTTCCAACCCAAGCCCCCGGAATTTTCAGGACACTGCAGCCTGAATCTAAGTTGAAATTATGCTCAGGCCCCTCCTCTGGGGACTGCTTGCAAATCAGGGCAATCAGACGCATCACATTTTTTCATGAAGGAAATTTCTGACGGGCTTATTAACCTTTAGAAATATCTACTGTCAGTCGGAAGGACTTCCTGAGCCCAGATCGAACTGAAAAACAACCTTATGACAGACCACCCGGTTCTGAGCGGATGGGAATTACTTTCAACCCAGGCCAGCATGTCCCTCAGACAAAATGTTCCACATACCAAATCTGACAGCAGCCAGCTCTCGGCAGCAGGAGAGCCAAGTGTTGGCTATAACAGATCAAACTCATGATGGCTGTTGACATGGGACGTTTGCTCTGGGCCTACGTCACTGGGAGGCGGGGGTGGAGGGGTAGGTGGGAGGTAGCTGGGGTATCGGGAAAGGAGCTGGCCTGAATGTCTTTGACATTTATGTCTCTGTGCTATGGGACAAGAAGTCTGCCTATCATCACAGATGTAACCTTGGCCTTTGACAATCACTTTCTGTTTTGAGTGTTCAGTTTGGGATAGAACTGTATTTCAGGGAATGCTGTCAGAAGAAAAGAGACAGAGTATCATGCAGCAAACTGGAGATAAAACGATAACTCCAGGGTTGGAGGAACTGACTCATCCATCTACTCCCACGGTCTCAGGGTTGACGACAATCGCCCTTCTTGCTCTCTTTTGGGTCACATTCTGGGATCAGAAGACAGTCTATATCATTTCTGAAAGTCTCTGTGTTTTTCCTCAACTTTGAAATACATTTGGCACAAAGATTTTCCACCATAGCAGCTGTTATGACAATGGAGGTTAGCCACCTCTCTGCATTGAATATGTTAGGGGGCCTTGGGCAAGACCCTAACTTCTGAGCCTTAGTTTTTATGCCTAGAAGCTGGGTATATTGGTGCCTCTCCCCTATACCTCTCCAGTTTGCCATGAAGAGCACAAGGCTAATGAGAAGACAATGTAATTCGAAGGAGAGGGAAGGTGACCATGCTCTGTCAGATTTTTCATAATCCTGGCCCTTTTCTCAAATGTTTTCTACTAAAAGTCCTAGAAATAGTTTCCTGATCTGTCTCCTGCTCTGCTGCAGATAGCCCCCCACCCCCACTTGATTAGGTGGTATGTGGCTTAAAGGGCTAGCGTGCCCAGCCTCTAGCAGCCACTTCAAAGTGTTCCCTCCTGCAGTTCCCAAAACTGACCGCCACCCAATGGCTTTGCTTTTCATTACTCACAAAGAAAAAAAAAAAAGATACAGGACAACAACCCTCCCTTCCTCAAAACGGATCCACCCTCTACTCATCAGTAGCTCCTCCTTCCCTCCAGGACAAGGGTCCTCTTCCATTGTTGATCAATTTCCCTGCTTAGGGTCCATCCCCTGTAACTTCTTTTGGAAACTCCCATCATTATTGTCCATTTTCATCATGACTGGATCATTACTCTTTCCATGCAGGAACATGTGGGAATTTTGGATTCTGATCCAGGACCAGGGGAAAAAATACTCTGGTTAAGGACAAAATGGGGCAGAGGTAGGTCTTGGGGAAGGCTTCCAGGAGAGTTTTGAAGAATGTATACAACTTACAATGATGTTGCTGTAATTGTGAGAATTGTCCACACTGCCATACTTCTGCAGACCCTTCCCTTCCTCTCTTGATCTCATTCTCTGACTTCTCCCTTTTCTTGCATTTAAAAATTCTAAAAGCCTAGAACAAAATTCTAAGTCCCAGTTAGTTCATTAGTGAGTAATTAGGACATTACCTTAATATTTGTTTAGGAGCCCTAGTGGTGCTATAGGATAAGCACTAGACTGCTAACCACAAGGACAGTGGTTCAGATCCACCAGTGGTTCCATAGGAAAAGCATGAAGCTGTCTTCTCCCCTGAAGATTTACAATCTCAGAAGCCCTATATAGGATCCTTATCAGTCAAATCTATATTTGTGCCCATTCTGAAGAATGGTTACCCCAAAGAATGCAGAAATCATTGAATAGTATCTTTAATATCATATGCAAGTAAAATTTTGCTGAAGATCATTCAAAAATGATTGCAACAGTACATGGACAGGGAGCTACCAGAAATTCAAGCTGGATTCAGAAGAGGATGTGGAGAGATATCACTGCTGCAATTAGATGGATCTTGGTTAAAAGCAGAGAATACTAGAAAAATGTTAACTTTATTGACTTTATTGTTTGCTTTGTTGGCTATGCAAAGATTCAACTGTGTGCAAATTTAACAAATTATGGATAAGATTTTGTAAAATGGGTATTCCAGAACACTCAATTATCCTCATGAGAAACCTGTACAGAGAACAGAGACTAAGAGGCAGTCGTTTAAAATCAGAAAAGGTGTGTGCCAGGGTTGCATCCTTTCATCAAACTAAATTCAATCTCTATGGTGAGGAAGCTGGATTATATGAAGAAGAATGTGGCATCAGGATTGGAGGAAAGACTCATTAACAACATGCAGTATGCAGATGACACAACCTTGCTTGTTGAAAGCAAAAAGACTTGAAATACTTACTGATGAAGATCAAAGACTATAGCCTTCAGTATTAATTGCACTTCAATGTAAAGAAAAATGAAAATTCTTACAACTGGACCAAAAAATAACATCATGATCAACAGAGAAAAGACTGAAACTGTCAAAGTCTTCATTTTGTTTGGATCCACAAACAATACTCATGGAGACAGAAGTTAAGAAATCCAATGACGTATTGCATTAGGTAAATCTGCTGCAAAAGGCCTCTTAAAGTGTAAAGAGCAAAAATGTCACTTTGAGGACTAAGGTGAAACTGACCCAAGCCATGACATTTTCAGTCGTCTTATATACATGTGAAAGTTGGACAACAAATAAGGAATCAATGCATTTGAATTACAATGTTGGAGAATAATATTGAAAGTACCATGGGCTGCCAGAAGAACAAACAAATCTGTCTTGAAAGAAGTATAGCACAATGCTCCTTAGACACCTGGATGGTGAAACTTTGTCTCTTATACTTTGGGCATGTTGTCAGGAAGGACCAATCCACAGAGGACATCATGCTGGGTAAAGTGAAGGGTCAGCAAAACAAAGGAAGACCCCCAACAAGATGGAATGACACAGTGACAGCAACAATGGACTCAAACATAACAACAATTGTGAAGATGGCACAACACTGGGCAGTGTTTCATTCTGTTGTGCATTGGGTCGCTATGTGTAAGAACTGACTTGAAGTCACCTAACAACAACAACATGAGTCAGAATCGACTTGATGGCAGGAGTTTGTGTTTTGGGGTATACTTACGTTTAACAAATATAAAAAAACCATTATTGTTTCACAGAGCTGACAATCTTTCTCCTAGATATGATCTAATAAATCCTTCCACTAGTCACGTTCAGGTTGTCTTAAGGTGCCATCTGCCCCAGGTGGTGAAAAGGACCTCACCCAAAGGCCAATCAGCCTCTTTCACCAGGAATTAGGATTTGATAGAAAGCATGTAGTTGGAACCAAGTAGTTCTGACACAGCTTCTTGGTGAGATTTCTCATGAGTGTCTGCCTCTGGAACCCTAGACCTGTCTTCTTCAAGTCCTTCTTGAAATTCGGTTGTTTAGGTTTTCCTTTAGCTTTGTGAGCAACTCAACATCCTTCCAGTAACCTCCATCTATTGTAGTTGTGGATGATTTCTGTTGCTTGCAACCAGAGAATCTTAATGAATATAGCCTATATATTCTGTAAAAGCTGTTCTGAAGATTTTCTTTTAAAAACAATCTGGTCTTCTCTCCCATCACTCGACTGTCACTTTGTTGTACTGTGGTGGTGTGATTCTGGAAGCTAACAACAACAACAGCACCACAGTCTGGGGAAGTGTAAGACATGCAACCTGGCAAAGAATGTTACAGACATAATCATTCAATCAGTTATTCATTCAATAAATGTATTATGTGCACAAAGATGCTGCAGGCACCAAGCTAGGTGATATTCTACTAAAAAGGTAGAAAGACTCACTGTGCTCATGGGATAAGAAAAATTAGCCACAAATAAATGAGCAAAATAATCACAAATTGTGAAAGGCTATGAAGGAAAGGGGGCCAGAGCTGAGATAGAATAAGGTGTGCAGTCTAGTAGAGAGGGTAGTGTTGGTCAGGGCTGGGGACTAGAGGTTAGGTTGGGGGCAGAGAGATGAAAGAGGGCAGCATTTGTGCCTGGGATTGAGAAGAAAGGTTTAGGCAGGAGGTGAAACTTTGTTATTTAGAATCATGGCAACTAGTGAAATAGCCCAGGAGAAAAGGAGTTTATAGAGAAAAAGGTGCAAATCTTAACTTTAGTTCTATGTTTAGAGAAAGCATGAACACATGTGGTGGTTGGTGGTAGTTATGTGCGTGGAGTCCGTTCCGACTCAGCGACCGTGTCCAGGGTTTCCGAGGCTGTAATGAGAGCAGAAAGACTCATCTTTCTCCCGCGGAACCGCTGGTAGTTTCGAACTGCTGAGCTTGAGATTCGTAACTACTCCGCTATCAGAACTCCTTAATTAACACATGCAGAACAGGTGAACAAGCAATTTGGAAGAAACGGTCCAATAGAAGCACGGCTTACCTCCCTGGCCTTTCTCAACCAGACTACATTTCCCATAATGCCACAAAATAAGCGAACGACCTGGAAGTTGCTTTTAGCCGCTTCCGACTCATGTGGCCAGGGATAATCATGGCGACCGTCAGATCGCCAATGTTGCTGTGGGGTCTACTGACCTGTTCACGCAACTCGGAACGGGTTTGTTTCCCTTCCCGACCCAGCTCACTTCTCCAGCCTTTGGTCGGTTCCTGCGGGGCGAGATCACCATGTCGCCGGCTCGCCTCCGAGGCCTGTAAGTGACCTGTCGGACGTCCACTGGGACGACCTCTTAGGAGACCTAGTGCTTGCTTCTGACTGGCGACAACCACGCTGCGGCTCCCCCTGCTCATCCCTCAGCGCGTACTCAGGCCTGTTTTCTGTACCGAGTCCGCGTTCGTTCGTTCATTTATTGATTCATTGATTCCATTCGGTCAGTCAGCCAACAATTTCAGGGCTCCGCTCCTTGCAAAGCACCATGCTAGACTTTGAGGACAAGCAAACTAAGACGGGTATGGACGCTTCTTAAGAGTACGTTTCAAGCTACACCCAATGTGGCTTGAAAGAGTAAGGAAGCTTCCTGGAAAATATAACCCAAGTTGAGGCCGGATTAACCATGCTAAGGAGGAAGCAAGTCTCATACTAAGCTGAGGAAACTGCATGGGCCAGGACCCAGAAATGAAACAACTCTGGGATTGATACACTTGTCCCTGGATCTGAGCCATGGTGGCTTAATGGGTTAGGTTGGGCCAACCACAAGGTCAGCAGTTTCAATCCACCAGGCACTCCCTGGGAGAAAGATGAGACTTTTTGCACCTGTGAAGACTTAGCTTCAGAAACGATACAGGGTTGGTATGAGTCGGATAAGCCTCAAAGTCTGCTTATCGGAAACCCTATACAGGATTGCTGTGTGTCAGATGGCGCTTAAACAACAACATGAGTCGAACTGATTCTACTAAATGCAGCAGTAGCAAGGCAAGCACCAGAGTCGTTTCTAAAATTGGGATAGTAATACTTATTTGTGGGTTTTTGTGAGCTTTCCTGAAGGTGTAGGTAATACCTTCAGGTGTATGACATTTGTTATTAGGTGCTATGCAGTCGGTTCCCACCCTTAGCAACACTACAGGGTTCCTGAGGCTGTAATCTGTACCAGAGCAGAAAGACTCCATCTTTTTCCCGTTGATTGGCTGATGGGCTTGAACTGCTAACCTTGTGGTTAGCAGCTCAGTGCTTATCCAATAGCACAACCAGCGCTCCTGATATACAGGAGACACTAATAGTGACAATTGTAATTATTACAGTAATTCCTTTTCCCTATTAAGTAATAGAAAGTCCCTGACTAGATTTGAAGTGTCCTTTAGGGAGAGATTATATCGTCTTATCACAAGGGATGCTCAATAAAATTTAAATGAATCTCATAGCTGTTGTTGTTAAGAGTCATTGAGTGGGTTCCAACTCAGAGTGACCCTGTATAGGATTACCGAGGAGCAATTGGTGAGTTTGAACCGCTGACCTTGTGGTTCAAAGCACCCTTGGGGTCCAGTGCTTATCTTACAGAGTCACACCAGGACTTCATATTAGTATTACAGTATAATGCAGTGTTGAGGTAGACATTTTGTTAGTAGCCTTTATTGCTAATTTGCTTTTCTATGTAAAGGTCTTGTTAGCTTGTCATTTCTGACAGCTTCTTATTTACTAAAATCCATTTTAGCAGAATCTGGTAACCCAGAGATCAAGAAACCTACATTTATGGATGAGGAAGTCCAGAGCATACTCATCAAGATGACAGGTTTGAATTTGCAGAAGATTTTTAAGCCAGCTGTGCAAGAACTGAAGCCCCCAACCTACAAGCTAATGACCCAGGAGCAGTTGGAAGAGGTATGTGAATGCAGGAATGTTGGTAGACTACCTTTGTAAAGGGGTTAAACAAGATATCCAGAAGCTCCTCAGCTGCTCAGATGCCCCCTCCGTGGGCACTGGTGAAGGGAAGCTTCAGGCACAGAATTGAAAAGAAATTTGAAGGCAAGCAGGCAGAGAAGAGCACAGAACATGCCAGAATTACACGGACTGAAGCACATAGGTCAGGTCTGGGTATCCAAGTAAAGCTTCTTCGGTGCTCCAAAACCATCCTCAGCATTCTTTCCCCTGCCTGCTCCAGCTTCTATCCCCGAGAAACATCCGCTGGAAGCTGTTTTGAGACTGAAGGTTTGATGTGACCAGAGATCTGTAGCCATAATTACTGCACCTACTGTGGAAAATGCTTTGATATAAGACTACATGACAGATAGTTTCCCTTGTTTCATAACTTGAAAGTTGTTTAGAGTCATAGCACAAAATTCAGATATTCGGTAGTGTACTACATGAAGAAGGAGCCCTTGTGGTACAAGGCTTAAGTGCTGTGCTGCTAACTGAAAGGTTGGTGGTTCTAACCCAGCAGCTGCTCTGTAGGAAGAAGTTGTAGCAGTCTGTTCCTGTAAAGGTCCCAGCCCTTGGGGTAGTTCTCTGTTGTGTAGGGTCACTATGGGAGAGACTCAACAGCACACAGTAACAGTAACATCACACGAAGAGTGAAAGCCCCCTAGTCCCTCCCCAGAGGTAATTGCTGTGGGATGGGGCACTGTAGTCAGTGATTTAGAGCATGGGCTCTGTGATTGAGCTGCCTGGGTTCAAATCCTAGTGCTGCTGCTTCTTGAGCAGTTTAATTAACATCTGTGTGCCTCTATTTTTCCTTCTAAAAAATGAAGATAGCACTTATTTCATATGCGCATTAAATGAATATTTGGAACAACATTGGTACACTAAGCACCCAGTAAATGCCATCATTTATTTTACTCCAAGCAGCTTTTGGAGCCTGCCTCTGTTTGCAGTGCATTTCTTTTTTGCTTTTTTGGTTTGTGGTTAAACCTGCATGGGGGCTCTTGGGCACACCACAGGAGTCAAAGCCTGAGTTTGACTTGTGATTTGTGGCTGTAGCATCTCTTTACAGCTCTTGGTATATTTAGTTAGTATTTGTTTTTTTCACGTGATCCTTTTGTTACTATAATTTTGTGGCTTTCCTTACAAAATATTTTATTAGGCTACAAGACGGGCTGTTGATGCAGCTAAAGTACAATTAAAAATGCCTCCAGTTCTGGAAGAGCGAGCGCCAATAAATGATGTATTAGCTGAAGATAAGATTTTGGAAGGAACAGAAACAACCAAATACGTGTTTACTGATATATCATATAACATACCACACCGGGTGAGTATGTCTAATAAATTGGTCTTTGCTTGAAATATCACATGGAGGTTGGTTTGAGCGATGGTAATTGACATCATGTGACCTGGCTTTCTCTGATGCTTCCAAACCAGAATTCCCATGATTCTGAGCTCCTCTGGAAGTTATAATATCAGGAGGCAGAGGAATAAAATGCAGGTTAGCCCCACCCACACTATTCTGTGACCATTTCCTTACAAATTATGAACATAGTATAATACAGATTAATTGCAAACAAAGTGACAGGTATGCTGAGACAGAACACATTCCAAAACCCAACATGGAAATAGCTTCAAGGCAATGGAAGAGGAGAGATTCCTACCGAAACATTTACAGATTGCCTTCTTCTTAGGTGCTTACGTGTTGCTTCTGACTCATAGCAACCCTGTGCACAACAGAAGGAAGCATTGCCCAGTCCTGCCTCATCCTTACTGTCATTGTCATGCTTGAGCCCATTGCTGCTGCCCCTGTGCCATTCTGTCTCGTTGGGGGTCTTCCCCTTTTATGCTGATCCTCCACTTTACTAAGCATAATGTCCTTCTCCGGACACTGGTCCCTCTTGATAATGTGTCTGAAGTGTGAGAGACAAAGTCGTACCATCCTTGCTTCTTAGGTGTATTTTGGCTGTACTTCTTCCAAGACAGATCTGTTTGTCTTATGGCAGCCCGTGGTACTTTCAACATTCTTCTTCAACACCAGAAATCAAATGTATCAATTTTTCTACAGTCTTTCTTATTCATTGTCCAACCTTCGCATGCATATGAGGCAATTAAAAATACCATGGCTTGTATTTTCACCTTAAGACATGTCAGGTGCATGTCAGTCCTCAAACTGATACCTTTGTTCCCGAACACTTTAAAGAGGTTTTGTGCATTAGACTTGCCAAATGCAATACGTCATTTGATGTCTTGCTTAGGATATTGATCTTTTATGTGTTCCATTTCATTTTTTAAACTTGCAATTTTCCTAGATTCATATTTCATTCATTATATGTTCAGATTATTAATGGATGTTTGCACCTGTTTCTCTTCATTTTGAATTGTGCCCTATCAGAAAAAGAAGTTCCTAAAAGTTTTACTCCATTCATGTCCTCTATTTTGAGGAGGCAGCTCTTCCCGTCGTACTAAATACCTTCCAACCTGAGAGGCTCGCCTTCCATATCTGACAGTGTTCCATGCTATTCATAAAGTGTTCAGTGGCTAAACTTTCAGAATGGTCCGCCTTTTGTTCCTTAGTCCAGAAGCTCAGCTGAAACCTGTCCACCGTGTGTGACCCTGCTGGTATTTAAAATACTGGTGGTATAGTTTCCAGCATCAGAGAAACACACAAGCCACCACAGTACGACAAACTGACAGACAAGTGATGGAGCAACTTTATTAGTTATAGATTTTTGAGATGTTTCTGTGAATTCATTGATGATTCCCTCAAATCCCAGACTTCTTAAAGGATGTTTACTTTTCAGAATTTGCAGTAAGAATGGCAGGTGTTTCCCAAATATTTTCCAGACAGCACCATTTCTCTTGTTTTATTTTCTGGCTTAACTTACCTTGATTGCCAACTCCATAATAGCACTCTGGTACTTAGAAATATGATACTGGTTTTCTACTTAAACTTTTGAGTAAAAAGAGAGAAGTAATTTACAGTTTAGTCCCATAGCATGTATGATGCATAATACTGGGCTTGGGAGAAGGACTAAGCCCATATTAAGTAGTCTTTTATCAGATCATTAGAAGACATGACTCGAGTTGTGTCCATGTATGTGTTTGTAGTGCTGTGAAGGCAATGTAGTTGCATTTTATAACCTGAAAGGGAGAGAAGAACTTCGATTTCAGATTTCTCTAATTACCAAAATCTTGTTGAGAATCAACTGTTATTTTAGCATTGGTTATTTTTTCCCTTCTATTCAATTTGCAGATAGAAGATTTTATAGCATCCTCTGAGCACATTCAGAGGCTCTTACACCTCTTACAAGTTGAGGGTCCTTCCATCTGTTTAATTTAAACATTAATCAGATGTTTAAATTATCAGTTATCCATTATGTGCACAGCTCTGTGTAAATCGCTCTGGGTTTTGGAAAAAGAATTGCTATCCATACTTCCTTCCATTTTCTAGTTATGTAACGATATCTGGAAGGTGTCAGGAATCCTACACATTCTAAATTGCTAGTTGAGTAATAGAGACTTAGAAGAGATCAGACTGTGTCCCAGCAGTCTCTCTGACACATTCATGTCTGATACCAACATGAACTGTCCTAGTGGTGTGCAGAATTAAAACTCCATTTAGGCTTCTCGCATTTATTCCGAGGATGAAAGTATGCTTTTAAGTAGTAAAAAATCTGCTTAGATAAGACTTTGAAATGAGGAAATAAAACAATTTGAAAAGGTTTTTTAATATTCTTTCTTCTACACTGGATTTTGGTAAGTCTTAGATCAGCTTTTTTTAGTTGAACTATTTTATGTTTTGAACTCATTGTAGCACCATTGTTGTTGTTATGTGCCGTGGAGTCAGTTCTGACTCATAGCGACTCAAGGTTTCTGAGGCTGTAAATCTTTACGGGAGCAGACCACCTTAGTCAGACCTAAGGAGCTCTGGTAGCGTAGTGGTTACGAATTGGGCTGCGAACCTTAAGGTCAGCGGTTCAAAACTACCAGCTGCTCCGCGGGAGAAAGATGAGGCTTTCTACTCCCATAAAGATTTACACCCTTGGAAACCCTATACAGGGTCGCTATGGGTCGGAACCGACTCGATGGCACATAACAACAGTCAGACCTTAATAAATACTTTCACTCAATTTCTGATTATTAGATACACAGTAGTGATTAATGAAGGAAGTATCAAAACTTACCAAGTCTTTGAAGTTTAAAATTACCATTGAAATCATCTGTGCATGATTGCATTTTACAATTACATTTTATATTGTTGATTGGAAATTATTCTTATAATGGTGTTTAGTGGGGCCCTAGATCTAAAAATAAGTCCTCGCAAATTCATCCTTGATTATGTTTTCTGTTTTAGGAGCGTTTTATTGTTGTCAGAGAACCAAGTGGCACACTACGCAAAGCTTCTTGGGAAGAACGGGACCGTATGATACAAGTTTATTTTCCAAAAGAAGGTCGTAGAATTTTGACGCCAACAATTTTCAAGGATGAAAACATCAAGGTGACTTTGATTTCCTTTATCAGAGTCAGTAGTAATGATTTCTTTGTTGACTCTGGTGCTATTTGCCGTTATACTTTATAAACACAGGTCTGCTTTCCTAATGAGTGACTTGACTAGGGCTACTGCTCTCAGAGATTGCCTTTGCTAGGATTTGCGTTCTGGTGTGACAATTCCAAAGCTCATTCCTGGTTTTCCTGCTTACCTGTGGGTGGTCATAGATGGTGCATGTATGTTATGTGATGGGTCAGCCTGCCCTGGCATCAGGGCAGGTGTTGCACTTTCATGTTCTTCTCTTCTAATTGCAACACTGCTGTCTGGTTTTAGACAATGTTCAGCCTGGACCGGCATGCTGATGTCCTCAACCTCTGCATTGCCCAGTTTGAGCCAGATTCCACTGAGTATATCAAAGTGAGTATATTTTGTAGTTTCTAAAAAGCATGAGCCTAAGTATGGTTATGAGGAAGATTTTGTAATTCAGCCCAGTGAACGTGGCTATAACCAATGATGCATGGGGAAGCTAAAGGAAATACTTGAACACCTATTGAGTACCTAATGTTTTATTCTTACCTTTGAGTTAAAGAGAGGGGAGTTAAACTGATGAGAGTTAAATAGCTTGCTGACAGTTTTACAGCTAGTAAGTGGTAGTAGGTGATGACATAGACGTAATGATAAAGCCCATTCTCTTTTCACCTCACTTAGCTGTATAGCAGCATGTGTACTAACATTTGCTAAAATGCAGCATGTGTTTCGTAATCCAGTTGAACAAGTACACAGTTATTGCCGTCTGTGTGTCAAGTATCATTGTCGACAGTGATGTCACGAAGCAGAATAGGATAGGGTGAGCTGTATATAAAAGCTCGCTGTCTGGAAACGATTGTGGGGAAGGATGGGGGAAAGTTTGCTTGTTGCCATCGAGTTAATTGTCACGTTAGGCTGGGAAAGTTTACAGAGTGCTCTTAGGAAAGTCTTCGTAGGGACCTTGAGAGGATTCTAAAAAGGCAGGGATTATGGGAGTGGAGTTGAACGAGGAGAGGATTTCAGGTAGAGGGATCAGAATGAGCACAGATAGAAAATAACCTAGTATGTGTGAGAAATGGCCAATTGCCCTGTTGGCTGTGTGTAGAGGGATGGTTTCAGATTAAATTGGAGGGGTGGATTGGGTCACATCACAGCTGTGCTTCAGTCATCAGACCTTGAAAGCTTTTTAACAGAGGAATGCCGTGATCAAGGTTCTCCTTTAGGAAGATCAATCTGGAAGGAGAATTGAAGTAGGATAGCCACCAGGTCAGCAGTTCAAACCCACCAGCCACTCCTTGAAAACCCTATACAGTGTTCTGGACAGCACTTAACACTACACCATCAGGTAATAATATGTAATGGGGATGTCTGGTTGATGGAATGGAGAGAAAGAGGAGGAGTGGCCAAGGAATACTAGCTCCTTATTCTCAGTGGTCAACGGCACTTCACAATATATGCGTGTGGACTCCTGTTGTGTTGCTGTGGGAAAAGCACTGGACTGAAAGGCTGTTTTGAACCTCAAGGTCGGTGGTTCAACCCTACCAACCATACCTCAGAATTTGGGTTGCTATAAGTCAGAACTGATTGAATGGCACTTAACAATGACATTTCATAAGAATCCCTGGTGGTGCAGTGGCTAGAGTGCTGGGCTGCTAACCAAAAGGTCAGTAGCTCAAACCCACCAGTTGCTCCATGGGAGAAAGTTGCGCAGCCATGGGAACACTATGGGGCAGTTCTGTTCTGTCCCACAGGGTCACTGTGAATCAGAATCGACTTGTTGGCAGTGAATCTTGTCATCTGATATTGTTGTTATGTGTCATCAAGTCAGTTCCAACTCAGAGAGTTTCTAAAAGTTGGTGGGTTTGAACTGCTGGACTTGTGGTTAGCAGTCCAGTGTTTATCCTACAGTGCCACACTAGGGCTCGTGTTATGTGATAGGTGCCTAATAAGTAGTGCTTGGTGGCTGAGAAGTACTTGCTAGGTCAATAAATCACAGGCTACTTTGCACTTCCACAGTGGAAAACAGATTGGCTATCATTTAGACCAGAGTGGGGATATCCAGCCCACAGGCTGCATAAGACCCATGAAAATCATTTGGCCTGGCCCTGCCAACGTAGTTCCGGACATCATGTTGCTGTTGTTAAGTGCCCTTGAGCCACTTCCGACCCATAGCTACCATGTATAGGGTTTCTGAGGAGCAGCTGCTGAGCTTGAACTGCTGACGATGAGATTTAAACTGACCTTGAGGTCCAGTACTTAACATCAGGACTCCATGTTGTTGTTAAGTACCCTGGAGTTGGCTCTGACTCATAGTGACCCTGCACAGGGTTTCTGAGGCTGTAAATCTTTACGGGAGCAGAAAGCCTCATCTTTCTCCCGCGGAACTGCTGGTAGTTTCGAACTGCTGACCTTGAGGTTCGCAGTCCAATTTGTAACCACTACGCTACCAGAGCTCCTTTAGAACTCCACATTGTTGTTGTTGTTGTTAAGTGCCGTTGAGTCAGTTCCAACCCATAGCGACCCTCTACAGGGTTTCCGAGGGTGTAAATCTTTACGGGAGTAGAAAGCCTCATCTTTCTCCCGCGGAGCACCTGGTAGTTTCGAACCGCTGTCCTTAAGGTTCGCAGCCCGATTCGTAACCACTACGCTACCAGAACTCCACATTAGGGATGAGTTAATCAAAGGTTTGACCAAATAACAGCAGGCTAATTTTCAAGTTGATAATTTTGTATGGCTCACGAAAGATGATATAAATTTTGGCAGGCAAAGAGCTTCCCCGCCTGATTTAGATAGGGAAGTCTTCTTTCTTAGTGGGATCCGCCTTCTCAACTAAGGTAAGTTGACCAATGTTTGGTGTAAATTGTAACTATTGATTAATGACAGTGGAGGCCGCTGTAAGACCTACTTTTACTGATACTTTCTTGTAGCACTCAGTAAGTGAATAATGATGCTCACTTTTTTATTTTCATGCCTTTGAAGAGTTGCATTTTATGTGAATAGGTTCATCACCAGACCTATGAAGATCTAGATAAACATGGGAAATACGACATTTTACGCTCAACAAGACACTTTGGTGGAATGGCTTGGTATTTTGTAAATAAGAAAAGGATTGATGGCTTGCTGATTGACCAGATTCAGAGAGATTTGTAAGTATGATCCTAGTAAGTAAAGGAATAATTCTCGTTGCAATAACAGCAAATCTGTGTTTAAGCCATGTGATTTTTCCAGTGGAAACTGTATTTTCCAGTGATAAGCTGAAGCTTACATTTCAGTTTGTCCGTAGGTTTGTTTCTTCCAGCATAAACTAGTTTTCTCAGTCTTAGCTTTTGTGTTGCTTTAACAGGGCCAGATTTCTTGCCAAGAGTAAATGATTTGGTTTTGTACACACCGGAATAAATCAAAAAGTATTGCTATTAGAGTTCTAGTGCATATGTGCATGGGTTTATTCCAAACATAGTGTGGTCAGACATGCCTCTGTGCTCACTGGATGGCTGCAGACTTCTCTCAGTACTACACTTGGCTTAGTTTCATTAAAGTACCTTCACACACACACAAATATAACATTCAGAACAGTGCCTTCTGAGGGATTCTGCTGGGTTAGTTCAATTCAAGGGAGCGAGGTCAGCTCAGAAGGTTATGGTGACTGTGTTTTGGGATTCCCAAGGGGTAATCTTAATCCTGGTGTGGCTATGTGGGTTTATGCACTGGACTGCAAAATCAGTTTGAACCACAAGGTCAGCAGTTCAAGCTTACCAGCCACTCTTGGGAAACCCTGCACAGGGTCGCTATGGGTCGGAACCAACTCAATGGCACGTAACAACAACAAATCTTAATAGATTTTCTTGAAGCAAACAGGATGATCATGGAACTTATGAACAAGTTTTACGAAAATGGAAAATTGCATTTGTGGGAATAAGGTCAGGAAATTATGCTGTGATTTTTTTTTTTTTTAATCACGTCAGTGCATCTATTTGCTCATTCTTTGAACGTAGCAAGGGCTGTCCTAAAACAATTTTATTGAGAACCCTAATCCCGTCCACCTAACAGTTCCGACCTTATTTTTGTTCCCCAAATTCAAAGAACACTAAAAGAAACACAACTTGAGTCACTCAAGGATGCCAAAGCTGCCGTTTTGACATGGTGTAAATAAATGATGCATAATTCTTCAGGGAAGGGGTTAGAGCAATGGAAACACCATCTTCAGAAGTATATTCACCTAGATGAGGATATGTTAAGAAACAGTAGCTTCACATTTTTCTGTTTTTAGTAAAGGTATCTTTGAAATACCTTCACCAAAAAGCAGTACTATTTGGCTTACCATTGTATGTTGTTGTTAAGTGCTATCGAGTCAGTTCTAACTCATAGCAGCCCTGTATAGGGTTTCAGAGGAGAGACTGCTGAGTTTGAACCTGGGTTTTCTTATGTCTAATAATTTCAAATTTGCTTTCCTAGGATGCTGGTTTTTAACCAATGGTTTCTTGTGAATAGTTGGATGGTGGGAGTCTTTCCTGGGAGTCCTCGGCAACTTCTTACAGAGGAGTCTGAGGCATTTATCCACTAAGTCAGAATACTGCTGGGGTTTATTCTTTCTTCTGGAGATGTCACTGCTGATACACATCATGACAAGTTACTGAGAGCCTCTTCACGACCACAGCCTATCTGTGTGGGCTGAATGTAGGGCTCTGCCTTCTTCAGTTGGATTACACTACGCATGCTGGTGAATCAGACGGCCATCTTCTACCATTTGTAATACTGTTTCTTTTGGGAAAAATGATGCTCCATGTCCAAAAAGGAGAGCCATATATGGCATATGCTCCCTTTCTCAAGATGGGCAGTCTGCAATCTAAGGAAACTCTGCATTTAGTTTTAAGTTGGTACACACTCTATAGGACTGTGAAACAAATGAAGGAACCCTTTGCCAGTAATAAGCCCTTTTTTCACAGAGTCGAGGATGCCACCAGCCTGGTCCAGCTGTATCACTTGGTCCATCCAGCCGGCCAGTCAGCTCAAGAAGCTAAAGCACAGGCTGCTGAGGGATTACATTTAATTAAGGTAAAGGATCTTTTTTTCCACATTGGCTGTTTGGTGCAGTTGAACTGGGAAGAATTCAGAAAAGGGTGTTATTTATAGTCCTGGTGGTGCTGTGGGTTAGACATTGGGCTGCTAACCCCAAGGTTGCTGGTTCAAACCCACCAGCCACTGTGTGGGAGAAAGATGAGATGGTCTGCTCCGGTAAAGATTTAGTCTTGGAAACCCAACACAGGGTTGTTATGAGTTGGAATCAACTTGATGGCAGCAGGTTTGGTTTGATTTAACAGAATATGTAGGTGTCCTGGTGGTTGAATGGGTTAAATGTTGGGCTGCTAACCAAAAGATTGGCAGTTTGAGACCATCAGCCGCTCTGGGGAAAAAGATGAGGCTGTTTGCTTTTATAAAGATTTCATTTCAGAAACCATCTGGGGCAATTCTACTTTGTCCTAATAGGGTTGCTCTGAGTCAAAATCAACTCTGTGGCAGAGAGTTTGGGTTTTTTAAATTTCATTATACAGAATTTATAAATACAGAACATATGTGGTCTTGAAAACATCAGTATCAGGTGGAAGTGGGAGAACCCCCTTCTTCCTGGAAGCATTGGCTGGGCCGAGTAGCAACTAAGAAGGTTAGCGTCCTGGTTCATTTATGGGCACATTTCTGCCAAGAAGGGCATGCTTATATATAAGGGGACTTCAAAAAGTTTGTGGAAAAATGGAATAAAAATAGAACTTTTCCACAAATGTTCAGACGCCCCCTCATATTCCACACCTTAGCTGCATTATCAGTTTGAAAAGGTGTAACTCTCAAATCCGTGGGCTTACATAGGTTTCTCGATAAATGTTGAGAACTTAGAATTTTTTTTCAGGGAGGGAAGAGGCTATCACTGTGAAATAAAAAAGCCTGTTAACCACAAGGCAGTTCAAACCCACCAGCTGCTCCTTTTAAGATCGACAGCCTCAGAAACCCTATACAGGGTTGCTGTGAATCAAAACCGACTCAACAGTATTTAACAGACATGAAAAAATTGACGCCTTAGAGGTACAACTGTTAAGTGTCGTCAAGTCACTTCCAGCTCATAGCAGTCCAGTGTAGGGTTTATAAGGAGAAACTTGGGTTTGAACCACCAGACTTGTGGTTAGCAAGCAGTCCAGTACTTAGCCTGAAGTGCCACACCAGGACAGTAGTAATTCTGATTTTCTGTAATAAGCCAGATGAAGTAAAATACTTTGGGAGAAAACATTCATTAAAATGTAAATTAGTTTGCTAATTCTAATCCTAATGACTTTTCTGATTTTTTTTTCTGAAAACAAGTTGAAAGAGATGGCCTTAGTAAGATAGTCCTAGGATTTCTAATTAGTATTACTTGAGTTGCGTTGGTTGGATACTGCTTTTCTATGTAGTATGTATTTATTGTTTGACATAATTGGAAAAAAAATAATACTGTAAAACTTGAAAGATACTTTTAAACTGGGACTTTTCTTTGTTTTTACAAAAATGTCTCAAAACTGAAACCTATTTTATATGTTTGTTCTATTGCTTTAAAACTCTCTTTTTAAATTTGCACAGGTCTTTGCAAAAACAGAAGCACAGAAGGGAGCACATATAGAATTAACACTTCAGGCTTATCAAGATGCGTTTGTCAGCCACTCTGCAGCTTCCTGAAAAGTACTTTCATAAATTTTATTTTGCTAATGTAGTCATAGTTTCTCATTAAGATTTCTGTTAATAATGAACCAAATTGTTTTTAAATGTCCAGACTAAAAGGTTCTGATTCGCTTTCAAAGATCTGGACAGCACCTGTAACACAATTACAAAGAAACATTTCTTAAGCTCCAAGGGGACAACTGAGAAGATTTGAGTGCCTGGGTATGAAATTTCTCTAATCATGTTAGCGTGCACAGTAAATGTCTGTGTTACCAAGTAGGCCAATAGTCAGTGAGCACAGATAGTGCCTCAGGAGCTAGTTTCATAGCTTGATTCCAGAAATAGGGAGCTTCTAGACACCGAAGAACCCATGCCAGCCAAGCTATGTAGGCTGAGGGAATTACGCAGTACAACCATATAAGTGGTCTGAGGAGTTAGAGCACAGGGTTCAGTCCTAAAAAAGATGTGATGCGTAGTACTTGAGAATGCAAATGGCAGAGCAGTGATTCAAAGAAAATACGCTGCTGCTGCTTCCTAAGTGAGGTGTAGTTTTTAGCAGGGTGTCTCAAGTTAAAATCAGAAGCCATTTTCATTATTCTGAAAAGAAAACTGAAGCATCTTCTTTAATTCAAAAGATTTTCTGAGATATGGTCTAATGACAGTATGAAAAAAAAAAAAAAAAATCAAAGTCATGTCTGTTTTAGTAAACAAGACAAGGAACTAGAGGGTGATTGAACTGCAGCCTTATAAAGCTCATGGAGACCCAATGGGCATTCAGCTCCCAGTGGTCCACAGCCTCCACACACGAAAATCTGAGTTGTTCAGAGTCCAGAGCACTGTGGTCAGGGTGAAGATCAACGCCATACATAATAACGATCCATTTAGTTGGGTAAGTTGGAAACATTAACTTCAGTCATACAAAATATCTTCATCCAGATTGATATCTGTTGTGTCAATATCTTCTAATTCCAAATTATCCAAATCTACTTCTAGTTCGAGTAAACTCTGCAAAAAAAAAAAACAAAAAACACTATATTAAAGCAAATTGATCTGTAGTTCGTAAATCCAAAATGAGAACTGAAAGTTTCTAGTCAAACAGGGCACGTTCCCACTTGAGAGCCCCTGCTCTGATCGCTGCCTGCACGCCCTGAAGACGTCTGAGGATGCGTGAGGAGCAGTGGGCTGTGGTCTCGAGGGAGGTTTGGGCCTGGTGTCAGACCTACCTTTTCTTCTTTGTTGCTTATGTGGGAGGCCACTGTCACTGGAGTAGGAGAAGCAGGCTTCCCATTAAGTTCCTGAAAGTCCAAATGGACATATATGAAGGCACAGGAATTTGTTCAAGATTTTGACATTTTCCCCCAGGGAAGGAAAATGGAAACTGGTACTTCAAATCAATATATCTCAAGTTACATTAAAAAGTTCACATGCAGTATCATACTGACCTGCTGGATGACAGGTCTTGAGGGCTGAAAGCCTTTAGCCTCTTCCATAACATTTCTTTCTTCATTAGGCTATCAAAAAATATTTGGATGATGTCAGAAACATTCTGAATATTTAAAAAATATTTTGAAATTATAATTAACCAATTTACCCTAAATCCTAATACAGCTCTTAATCGGACAAGAATTCAGTTAACTCAGTTCATACCCTAACATTATGAATGCATTTGGACCTTGCAGTCATATTAAATGAAGCTTGGCATCCCAGTCACTCACCGTAACTAGTGGATATTGTTTGGCTGGCAGTAGATCAGCATGCGTTTCCTTTACCCATTCTTCAACCACAAAGGCTTCTTTTAATCCAGGGAAGAGGTTTTCATACTCTGTTGGATCAGCAAGGGATTCTGCAGCTTTCTGATTGACTTTTGAGAGATTTTCTCTCCAGAGTTTCACAACCCTATAGGTATCATAGAACCAGAGAAAGACTAAATAAACTTGTTCTGTTTTTAGTTGAAACATTTCTCCATAAAATTGAAAGCTATACCTTGAAACCTGGCTGGGTAGGTAAGTACGAGCCAGGAAAGCAGCTTCTGGCAGTCGTCCAGTTCGAATCAAGAGTTCTAGGCAAGCATCAAGCCTACATTTTAAAAAATGAGACTGTCACCAAGAACAAACACTCATGATGACACTAACACATTTAAGAAATGTGGATTTAGTATTACATCTTTCATCACACACACACACACCCTCATTTCTGTTATGGAGCATCAACACCACGGAGTTCTGCTATCAAGGCACCAATGATGACCATTTTCAGTCTACTTAGTTTTAACAACTCCTAGAAATAATCTAAAGAGGCTTCCTAAGACAAGTTAAAGGAGCTTAAATTAGTACATTAGAAAGGCTTCAGGATACATACACCCAGAAACAGGTTCACAAGTGGAAATATGTGGAGCAGTGTCTAGCTTGGGTGTGTGCCAGACAAACCAGTAGGAAAATATATATGTCCTTTTTCTACTTTTTAATTAGCTTCTCTCTGTAAATTTTATAATGTGGGTAATAATGAAATTACAGCCACATGTTTCAAATTTTAGAATGCTTTGGATTTTAGAAAAGATAATAAATAACATGCTCAAAATTTTATACATTGCTTAACACCCTCAGCATCCCACACAAATCACATTAGTATTTCTATAATAACACATGTATACGGAATAGGATACAACATCAAGTGGAATCAAAACAAGTTCAGGTCAGGGTTTGCCAACAAATAGTTACAAAAAATTCAGAATATTTCTGGATTTAAAAATTAAGTATAAGGAGTAAAAGACTATAATAGGTATATGTAGTGGTATATGTATAGGCTAATAAGCACCTGACTGCAAAGTCAGTTTGAACCACAAGGTCAGTGGTTCAAACACAGCTGCTCTTCGGAAATCCTATACAGGGTTGCTGTGAGTCAGAACCAACTCGACAACATTTAACAGCCTTTACAGGAGTCATGGTGTAGCATTTATAGGGTAAACACTGGCCTGCTAACCACAGGTTGACAATGCAAACCTACCACCTGCTCCTTGCAAACCCTATTGCTGTTGAGTGCCATTGAGCCAATTCTGACTCATAGCAACCCTCTGTATAGGATTTCCAGGGAGTGGATAGTGGGTTTGTACTGCCAACCTTTTGGCTAGCAATCCATCAGTGCCAGGACTCCTGCAAACCTTCTGCAGGAGGGTCACTGAATTGGAACTGCCTCAATAGCACTTAACAACATACATTTATAAATAAAGTTACATATAAACATTAGCTTTCTGCTGTCTCAGCTATTAAATGGCAGGGCTTTTGAAAGAGGTTTACCAGTTCTCACACTTGAATCTCCCTAAAGCGCCTCTGCCTCAGATATTTAGATCAAACATGCTGAGAGCATCTCTTGCTAAGTACCCAAGGTAGCACTGTCCTCCTTTGCCCCCGTGACTCAGCACCACTTAACCACCATCCACTCTGCAGGACTCATGCCTCACAGTCTTATTCAAAATCTATACCTCAAGGTCAAGGTAGAAATCATTGCTGTTAATCAATATATTTTATTGGATTAATACTTACTTGCCCTGTAAGAAGTAGCTCATGAATGCCACATTATTCTTGCCATCTCTTTCTGCACCCTCTGCTAGCTTGTTCACCATACTAGCATTTCCAG